AACCTAATCTCTCTCTCTCTCTCTCTCTCTCTCTCTCTCTCTCTCTCTCTCTCTGGCCTCTCCTTTGAATTCCAGTCCCATATTTCTTAGTCCTTGCTATATATTTCCATCTGGATACTGCAAATTCAATATGCCTAAAATTCATCCAATTACTCCTATAAAGTGTCTCATTTTGGTCAATGCTAGTCATCCAGACTTAAAACTGAATAGGCATTCTTGATTTTTTTAATTTTGATGGTCCCTCACACTCTCATATGCCCATCAGTTGCCAAGCCATATCAACCTTACCTCTGAAATAACTCTCACATCTGTTCCTTTCCCTCCACTTTGACCTCTCACCAATACCATTATAATAGTCTTGTAATTACTCTCCCTGCCTTATGGTATGTCTCTTCTACAAACACATCCTTGACACAGATTCCAAGATAACCTTATGAATAGACTTCACTCTCTTGGGCAAAACCTTTAGCAACTTCCTGTTGGTTGCCTATAGGATAAAATATAAATTCTTTTTTTTTTTCAGCCAAAGACCAGTTTTATTAGAACATCTGTCATATTGGCCAGATTCTTAAGGAATCTGAAAATTAGTGAACTATGAGCTGGATTATAAGAATCTGAGCCCAAAAATATAAGTTCTTAATCCTAGCATTCAAGGCCTTCCTCAGTTTGGTTCCAACCTATATTTTTTTCCTATTTTAATTTCACCTTGCTTCTTCTTATGCACTCTGTGTTCCAGGCAAACTGCATAGTTTGTCATTTCTTGACATTGAACTCCTTTTTCCCATCTCCTTGTATTTGTATATTCCATCCCCATACCTGGAATGATCTTCCTTCATTCTTTTACCCATTTGAATCCAAGGATAAGCTCAATTTCTATCTCCCTCATAAAGCCATCTTTCTATCTCCATTTCCTTTCCCAGTTAGAATTACTCCCCTTCCCCTGTCTCTCATTCCTCCATATAACTGAGCCACATTCTGTCTTATATTTATTCCCATACTTGGCTTATCCTTCAGTGAGAAGGGTGTGCAGTTCCTTGGGCTGGAATAAGGAAAATGAGATAATTTAGGACAAAATTAATTTAGCCATAGTTTTGATTTCTTTCCATTTTCATGAGTTAAATGACCCATTGTCAAATTCCAGCTTCTGGAAGAAATTCTGTTTTTTTCTAAACACTTCTCTCCACCCTGAGTAATGCTAAGTTCCATTTGATGGGGTCACTGTCCCGATGAAAAGCTGGGTGGGGTTTTGGGGGGAGTATTGGGTTTGTTTTCTGAAAGTTAATTGAAACAACATTAACCATAGACATGAGACCTCAGGACAGGCAGTTCCTTGAAGGTTGGGGCTTTGGATTCTTTCCTTCAACCATCTCCACTTTTATAGCTATATTTAGCACTCTGGCTGCCTACATGACTGGCTTGCCATGTATCCCTGTCAGGATAACATGGAGCCTGTTTGTAGCTGAAGTCTGTCAGTTTCACCACAGCCCTAGGGCCAAGTGCATGTGGTTTTCAATGGGCAACCAATGACTCCCTGTCCCACTTGTCCAGAAAGACTGCTTTGGGGTCTGTTCTGTTACCCTGGTGCAATGTGGTTCTTCAGTACTCACAACTAGCAACATGGAACTTTTTGTTATTGTTTTTAATAGCAAGACTCTCCTATGGAGCCTAACCATAAAAGTAGCGTCCCCTGCTCTCATCCCCACCCATTCCTCCCCTACACTCGGTCGTGGTGTGGAAGGATCAGAATGTCATTGTTTATATGGATGTGACTGAGTGCTACAAAAAAATTACTATCTTTGCACAAGAGCCAAGTTTTATATGCCAGGGCAGCTGTTTTAACTTTTCAGAAACCACAGAGGTTTTGCCTAAAAACAAAAAATTAATAATAATTTCAGAGGACATAGTTTTAAAGTTACAGGAATACATTATTTCTGAACCTAGAGCAGGGTTTTTTCTTCTCGCTCTTTTCTTTTTAAAAAAGTTGAAGCAGGGCTCCCTTCCAAGTAATAACCAGGTCCAATCCTCTTTAGTTTCCAAGATTGGACAAGGGCCCCCTCCCCTTAATCCTGTACTCCCCTAACCCCCCACCCCTGTAATTGTATCCTCTCTTGGAACAAAGAAAAGAGTTAAGCAAAAAATAATTAACACAATGATTGTGTCTGAAAACATATGTGACATTAGGCCCTTATAATTTTTGGTTTTTCAATTACCCATAGCTCAGCTTTTTAAATTATCTTTTTGTTTACATTCTTGTTGTCCTCACATGTATTGTTATCCTGGATCTGCTCATTTCATTCTGTGTCAGTTCAAATAAGTCTTCCTATCTTTCTCTAAGAATAAAATAAGATGGGAGGAGGGGCAGCTAGGTGGCACAGTGGATAGAGCACCAGCCCTGGCTTCAGGAGGACCTGAGTTCAAACCCGGCCTCAGACACATAACACTTACTAGCTGTGTGACACTGGGCAAGTCACTTAACCCCCATTGTCCAACAAAAAAAAAAGGAAATAAAATAAGACGATATCAAAAATTTGACTGGTACAGAGCAGAGAAATGGGAACTGTGCTGAGATTCTAGCCCTGTCTCTGAAGGATGACCTTGGGGAAGTCACTTCACTCTCAACGTCTCAATTTTCCCATCTTTAAATAGGGAGGGAGGGGAGTGTCCTTGAAGATCTGTAAGTTCCCTTTCAGTTTAGGTATTGTAACTAAATTACAATTCTACAGGGGGAAAAAAATCTATTGTTCCTGTGTTGGAGACAGTGCATGCAGAATTCTCTGGCCAAATTACATTTTTATGATCAAGTTCTTACTGAGTCTCTGAAAAAAGGAGATTGTGAAAGAGGCATTCCCTTCCCTAATAGGGACATTAAATGGCAATACTACAATTCTCATGCTCTCTCTCAATTCAGTGTATTTTCCATTAACATAAATGGTAGAGATGCCAAAGGAAGACAGCTGCATAATTTCCAAAAGTTCAGCAGAACTTTAACAAGTCATGGTAAATATTGCTTTGCTTCTTTTTTTTTTTTCATTCACATTATAGCAAATATTCCACTTCCTCTTACACAGGGCAGCTTATTCTCCTGTTGAGAGAGGTCATTCGATGTAGTTATTACACCATTAAGACCATCTCATCCATGGAAATAATTTTTTTATTGTTCTGAGTCACTTGGATTTGTGGAATCTTTACACGGGTTCCAGAACGAGGGTGAGATGATATATTTATTTTACTTTGTATCCTCTTGAAAGTATTTTTTTTGCCTGCATGAATATAAGCCTTGTTGTTAAAGTATTTCCATATTTTTCTTACATTAGAAATCACTCTGAGATATTTATGTCTACAGAACTCTTCATTCACAATTCACCATGTGTGTACTCAGTGCCTGTGATTTGGCAGGGCTGAATGCTTTTTCTGGTGTTTTTGCATTTTTCCCTCCATCCCTGTTTACATCTTCTCATCCTATGTCTCTCAGCCATGCTGGAAGCAGAGCAGACCTTAGAAAAATGTTTAGACTAATTGGCTGCTTCCCATGAAAAGTCTTGTATTAAATTAAGGATTTCAAAAGGCATTGCTGTATTTTTAAAATTCTTCCCGATTTCTGTCTGTAGGTATTGTAATTAAGTAAACTGTGCTGGAAGTGGTCTATATGACAGGTTGGCTTCAGATCAGAATGTCTTTGTGCTTTAAAGAGTAGGTTCTGGATTCCTATAAAGATTCAAAATTTCATTTCAAAATTGTAGGTTTATGATTTCAGAGAACAGAAACACAGCCACATATACCTTAAATTAACTGCAGAGCTTGTTGAAAAATATGCAAACCGTGTGGACCTTCTCTTGTAAGGAGACAATCCCATCCTATTCACTGAGTCCTCATCTTTGCCTAGCCCAGGAAATTAAACTGTCCATGTAACTGTTTCCAGAAGGCAGCTCTGCCCAATCCACAGCTCAACTACTGAATGGCCCACAGATGTTAGGGGCTGTGGGGTTTCGTACTTTGGTAGAAAAAGGAGTTGACAGTCTCTTACAAACCAGTTTTGAGTAGGTAATAGAAAGCTAAACAAATGAGGTGATAGAATTCCTTTGGAATCAGGGGCCAAATTCATAGATATTCATCAGTCACTCCTCTATCTGCATCTTGTCTCTTCTCTGGACTTAATCTAAGCAGCCTGCATCAAAAATTTTCTTTGGCCTGAACACATTCTGTATATTTGTTAATTATTGATAGCAATGGTGTCAACTCAGATAGAAACAGATCCTACATCTTGCATGTAGACTTAGAAAACCATAAATTAACATTATCTGTGTTTTATTTTTTTTATTTATTTTCTTAAACACTTCCCAATTATATTTGTACCTGGTCTGGCCACACTTGGGAGTTTTGAAGGCTGCATGCAGCTCATTTGGACACCCCTGATCTACAGGGAACAAAGTTTGTTGGAATTGCTCTTTTATCTATTTGACTATAAACTGGAAAGACTATTTCAAATTTATGGAAATGCTTTAAATTCAACACTCCAAAAAGAACTTGAGTTGAAAACAGAACAATTTTTTTCATATTGGTTTATGCTTTTAAATGCCCATTGGAATTGATGGTCCTTTTGTATATTGGCTCATACAAATGCGATTCCTAAGGTAGAGCCTTAAAATAAATTCTGTACTTGTTGGCCAGGTACAGGGGGTAGGGTTTAGGCCTTTGAAGGGATAAATTAATTTTCATAGCTCCCTATTGATGTTTCAGAGATAGATACCCTTCTAAGGAGAGGTATATATAAAAATAACTTGGCTTTGGGAGAGAAAAGGATAAAAATGAATAGTTTCTAATGGAAAACTTCCTCTTTCTCACCACCAAGAGGAAATGAGTTGGACTTAGTGATTGGGGCCATTTCTGTATGGCAGATCTCTTTGTTTTTATTGGTGCTCACCTAGAAGGAAAAAATGTTTTCTTTTTCAGAAATAGTAAGATGATTTTTGAAATTCTGAATTCCTTCTTTTTCTCCACAGGTTGACATGGTGAAAGGAGCATTAGAAAACCTTCAGCTCAACATAGTAGAGATGACGGATGAAAATGCAACCTTGGATGGTGGAGATGTTTTATTCACAGGTATGGTGATACACGCATAGCTTCTTGGGTTTTTTTAAAAATAGATTTCTATTTGAGAGGTGATTAACTTAAGACTGAAATGATTTACAGATAAGATTCTTTCCAGATGGTAAAGTGAATTTTAGTAATTTGGAACATAGATTGGTTTGGCTTGATGCTACAGTAACAATAGCAGTACTGAGAGTTAAGATTAGGGACCAGACCTATGATTTCATTGATCTAGAGAATTCCCAGATGAAGAAACTCCCTCCACCAATCAATATCAGTACCTGTTCTGCAACCTATTGTCTTAGAAAGTTGCTTAGAGTACTGAGAGGTTATATGAATGACCCAGGGTCACACAGCCAGTTTGTCAGACATGGGATTTGAACTCAGGTTGTCCTGACTCCATGGTCATCTATGGATTATACCATGCTACCTTCACCACTATACCACATTTAGTAATGCTAAACAAAATTCAAATAGCTAATGTCAACATTAATTTCTCTCACTCACTTTCTCGGGTAAAATTGAATTGCTTCTTTAAGTATTGTGTGGTCATTAAAGGAACCATGTTTTTGCCTGTTAAATAACTATTCTAGTTCCTTATGATAATGTTCATAAATACCTTGCATTTATCTGTTGTTTTAAAGTCTCCAAACAACTTAACATTACGTGATTTCTTATGATCCTCACCACAACCCTACAATGTATGTATTTTATAAAATCTTGCACTAAATCCATGATAGTCTAAGTCAGAGTGTTCTTAACCCGGGGTCCATGGAAGGGATCCATGGAAAGATTTCAGGAGGTACATGAGCTTGAAATGCATCTTTTATTTCACTAATCTTCAAATGAAATTTAGCATTTCTTTCAATTATAATTATTAAAAAAAAACATTATTCTGAGAAGATGGTTCAGAGTGAGTGTAAATGCCAACTATTTCTGTTCTGGCCAGAAGCTCTGAGTGTCTTCACCTCCAGAATGTTTCTTTTATGAAGGCAAACTAGGCCATCTTTTGCCTCAATTCTTACATAACCTTTAATTACTAAATGGGTGTTGTGTCAGAGAAACTAAGACCTTGGAAAGACTTTAGCTTAAAAAAGCCACCGTCTCCCACTGCATCCAGGGCCATTACCCGTCATCCTGACCTATGTCTTGCCACTGGACTCCAATGATTCTGGAGGAGAGAGTGAGACTGATGACTTTGCGCAATCCTGCCTCACTTCAATCCAACTCACTCACAAGTCAAGACATCACCCTCCTGATGTTATTGGTCCTCTTCAGGAATGAAGAACGAACAACAATAGGCTTCACCAGACCCTCAAAGTGGGGTCTATGACATAAAAACAGTTAAGACCTCTTGGTCCAAATCAAGTTAGGGAGTTAGGGTAGCTGGTTTAAAAAAAAAAAATTCATCTTTAGTTCAGAGCCAAAGGTAAAAGAGTATTGTTTACTAAAACATCAGACAGTGAGCATCTGTTGCCTGTCACCCAAAGGAATACAGGGTACACTAATACTAACACTAATACCGATGCCAGAAGGGAAGAAGGTCCTAGCTGTGTGACCCTGGGCAAGTCACTTAACCCCAATTGCCTAAAAAAACTAATCAGAAGGGAAGAAGATAATAATAACAATATAGAAGCTGAAATCATCTGTCTTAATTTTATTCCTAGGTCTGATATTAAATAGCAAAGTCAGATCATTTGACTTTTAATGCCATTTGTGACATACCAAGTCATTGAACATACATACGTTGCATTTGCCAGGTAGGAATTCTTCAGGAGCACCTGGTCTCATGGATCTGAGATTTATCACAGATGCCATATATGAAACTTGGGAGGCCAGTCTGAGTAGCATAGGCCAGCACCCTGTCTCCAGTTAAATGGAATATGAGGAGCCTGAAATATAAAGGACTTTTCTCTGCAGTTATTTACAAGATACAACTGCTATATAACATACAACTGCATCCTGGAAGGCACAGATGCCATCAGGAGCAAGAACTCAAAATAAACATGCACTATAAATTCACATAGGAGCCATTTAAGAAAGACATCAGTGTATCATGTTCAGAACCACTGGCCGAGGAGTGAAGAAACCTGGTTTTTTATGGTAAATGTGTCACTAATTTGCTATGTGACCTAGGGATGAGTGACAAACTCTCTGAACTTAAGGAGTTAGGCCAGATGCTGCTGAAGGTCCCTCTGCTTTCTGAAGCATCTCCTTTCCCTGGGATTTCTCTTCCTACTTCTTTACTAAACCCAAGACACTTAGAGGTCATCTTTGAAACCAGCTAGGGTAACATTAATCTCTCAATGAGCTAACTGCTGTTTTTTTTATTGTAGATGATATATATTTTCCTGAAATCATGATGGCTGTGAGGTTTATTGTTCTTAACACAAAAATAAACAACTCCTCTTTATTTACAGGTGCCAAGATCAAACATATGTTTGTCACCATAAATTGCCTTTTGTCATTTTACCTACTCTTTTCTAAGCAGCCTAGTCAGCCACGGTACCATATCGACAGAGCAGAAACAATTCCCTTGCATCCCAATAATCATTCTAAACCTCAAGATTTATCATGCTACCTCATTCTTCAAGACGCTAAGAGGTTGCGTTAGAGACAGCTGGATGTCACAACGGATAGAGCACTGAACTTGGAGCCAGGAAGAACAGAGTTAGAATTTTGTTACTTATTAGCTGTGTGACTCTGGGCAAGTCATTTACCCTCTGGGAACCTCAGTTTCCTCATCTGTAAAATGGGGATGATAACAGTACCTACCTCACAGGGTTATTGTGAAGGCAAAATGGGATAACACAAGTAAAGTGCTTTGCATACTTAAAGCTAGCTATTATTATATAAATGCTAGCTATCATTTAAAACATTTCACAATTTGGCTCTGAGTTGAACGTATATTATTTCCCTTCCTGTGCTCTCAGTTCCTGCCATGCTGGCCTTCTCACTATTCCCTAAACTCAGTATTCCATCTCCTACACCCATACTTGGAATGACCTCTCTCCTCTCATTGATCTGGTAAAATCTCTACCTTCTTTCAAGGCTCAGCTCATAAATCCCCCCTATAGAGTGCTTTTCCAGGTCCCCTTATTTGTTAATGGTCTCTCCTTCCTCTCCAAATGATCATGTTTATGCTTCTATGTATGCACATGGTATTCATCCAAAAGAACGTACAAAGAGTGTTTTTTGTTTTGTCTTCAAACTGCCCTCATACCTCATACATGGTGCTTTTGTTGACGTTTCAGTCATATCCAACTCTCCATGACACCATTTAGGGTTTTCTTGGCAAAGATATTAGAGTGGCTCGCCATTTCTTTCTCCAGCTCATTTCACAGATGAGGAAACTGAGGCAAATAGGGTTTAATGACTTGCCCAGGGTCACAAGCCAATAAGCGTCTAAGGCCAGATTTGAACTCAGGTCTTCAAGGGCCGGCACTCTATCCACTGTGCCACCTAGCTGCCCATACCTCATACTTAGTAGGCACTTAATAAATGCCTCTTAGCATAGACCAGATAAAACACAGAAGGAGAAACACGTTGTCTACTCATCACTTTTGCCTTTAGTCCCCTTTTAGGACAAGCCAAGCAGGAAACAGAGCATGAAATGCCTCTTGTTTCTCCTCCTATTCATTATGCTCCCTTCCCACATACAGTCTACTCATTTACTGCACAATTAGGAAACTTGTCTTCAAACTCCTTCAGCCTCTGCAACGTAACCATAACTGTCAGTCAAACGAACGGCCACTGGTCTTTTTCAGCCCTGTCTCTTTAAAATATAATGCAATTATTAAACCACTATTTAAACAGTGCAAAACAATGCTGGGGTATCATTTTATATTTGCCAAGCTAGAGAAGGTGCTAAAAGACAAGAACTCATTCTGGGAGAGGCTAAAAGAAGACAGGCATACTAATTCAATGCTGATAGATGTGTAAATTAGTTCAAACGTTACTGGAAGACAATTTAGAATTATGCAAGGCAAGTTACTAAGTTGTTCATGCTCTTTGACCTAGAGATTCCTCTACAAGGAACTGTAGTCCCAAGGAGATTTTTGACAGGAAAAAAATAGTTTATAGCATCATTCTAACAAACAAACAAACAAAAAAGTTGGGGGGGGGGAGTGACCAGTAATTGGGAATGGCTGAACATATTATACCTTATGAATATTAAAAGAATGCTTTTTGTTGTTCATTTGCTTTAGTCGTGCCTAACTCTATGTGACCCCATTTAGGGTTTTCTTGGCAAAGATACTGGAGTGGTTTCCCATTTCCTTCTCCAGCTCATTTTACAGATAAGGAAACTGAGGCAAACAGGGTTAAGGGACTTACCCAGGGTCACACAGCTAGTACGTATATGAGATTTAGACTCAGTAAGATGAGTCCTTCTGACTTAGTCCCAGCACTCTATCTGCTGCACCACCTAGCTTCCCAAAAGAATGCTGCTGTGCTGTAATTAACGATGATTATTAAGAATGCAGAGAAACAAGGGAAGCTTTGTATGGAATGATACAAAGGAGCAAAAGCAAAGCCAAAAGAACCACATACACAGTGATTGCAACAATGTAAACAAAGTCAACATGGAGGGGCAACAAAATCCTGGTCAGATACAGTAGCTACTATTGGCACCATGGTGTCCAAGTTAAAGGAACATCTCTCCTTTCTGTTAAAAAATGGATACATTGTTTTGAGGGCTTATACTTTGTGGGGAGTAAGAGAGGTTGTTGTGAAGTGTGGTAAGTGTCTATTGTGTAAAAACAAAAAGTATCAGTCATTTTTTAAAATCCCTTTAATAATCCCCTCTAGAATTCTGCCCCAGCTATCAAGCTTCAGGTCATTGGCCTCTAGTTTTCAGGCTCCAGTCTTCCCTTTGTTTTGACACTTAGAACATTTGTCCTTCTCTAGTCCTGCCTATTTCTAATATTATCTTTTGAATATCACTGACAGTATTACAAGCATCACATCAGCCAGTTCTGTTAGTCCCCTGGGATATATTTTATCTGAGCTCTATTCATTTAACTCATCAAAGGGTGCTCTTACTTTGTTGCTCAGTTGTGTCCAACTCTTCATGACCCCATCTGGAGTTTCTTGACAAAGATACTGGAGTGGTTTTCCATTTCCTTCTCTAGATCATTTTACAGATCAGGAAACTGAGGCAGACAGGTTAAATGACTTGTTCAAGGTCACACAGCAAATAAGTGCCTGAGGCCAGATCTGAACTCAGGTTTTCCTGACTCCAGGCCCAGTGCTGCACCAATTCCCTGCCCGTTGCTCTCTGGCTACCTCCTAATTTCTCTTGGATACTGACTCCCATTTTCTTTTTGTTTTGTCCTTTCTAGTCCAGTCCAGTCCCATTCCTTGATAGAAAAAAGAGAAACAAGCTAAGAGCTGGTCAGCTCTGACTTTGTTCCATCATCAGTAATCTTTGTACTGTCCACCTCACACTTCAGGCCGATGCCTTCTGTTCTCCTTTTTTCAAACCCCAATATGGTTAGAACACCTCTGTGTACAGCACAGAGGCTATTAATGTTTAAACCTACTTTGAGATTGAAATCCACAGCTTCTGGCTCCTTAGTCTAGCATTATTTCATCTGTATTATGTTGCCTCTTCAACAACAAAACCAGAATAGAGTTTTATCAGAGACCAAAATACAATGGTTCTTGCTCTCAAGGCATTTACATGAGATCGGATTTGGGAACAAGCTGAAAGACCAATCAGTGATATGCTCACCAAGACCAGCTGCTCTCTATGGTTCCTGGGTGTCCATGGTATTTTAAAGGAAGAAGATTATTTTCATAAAGAAATTCCCAATACTTAACAGTGATTTTTCTTTAAAATTGCAACTTTCATTGCCACTGACTTGTAAAGCTGCCATTTTGTTTCTGGTCACAAACCTCTTTAATTTTTTCCAGCCAAAGTAAACATTTCAAATATTGTAAAATTGTTTATGAAAATAAATTTTATTCTATCTTACCAGCTAATTTAGTCATTTGTTTAATGAGCTGATGTTTGGAGTGGATAGTTGTAAATGGGGTGGGAATAGCAGTAAGGTGGACCACTGTGATTAGAGAGTACTGCATTGTGCTTTAATTATATTTTAATGAAATAAATGGTTGATAAATTGGTAGGGCCTCTCACTGAGTCTGTGTCATTTTATCTAGGCAGGGAATTTTTTGTGGGCCTCTCCAAAAGGACAAATCAACGTGGTGCAGAAATCCTGGCTGATACTTTCAAGGTGAGTAAAAGGATGGTTGTGCCTTGCAAATAGCAGGTATTCAGTAAATTCTAGTTGAAGGAATATCTGTGTTTAATTAATTCTCTAGTCTAAATAATGTATAGTAATAATAGCTCACATTTCTATGGTGATTTAAGGTTTGCATACACTATCTCATTTGAGGCAGTTAGGTAACACAGTAGATAGAGCACTGGTCTTGGAGTCAGGAAGACGAGTTGAAATTTGGCCTTATGCACTTACTAGCTATATGACCCTGGGCAAGTAAGTTAACCTCTTTTGCCTCAGTTTCCTCAACTGTAAAATGTGGATTATAACAGCATCTATGTCCCAGGATTGTCATGAGGAACAATTAAGATAGTATTCATAAAATGCTTAGCGCAGTGCCAGGTACTTTGGCTCTCTACATAAATGCATATTCCCTTTCTCTTGATCCTCATAATAATCCTGTAAGGTAGGTGCTATTATTACCCTCATTTTATGTATGAGGAAACTAAAGCTAAGAGTGTTAAATGCATTGTGCAGTCACAGAGCTAGGAAGTGTCTGCGCAGAACTGGATCTCAGAGCAGGTAAGTGCCATACAGCTAGAAGGGTCAGAGGTATGATTTGAACCCATCAACTCCAACTCCAAGCCAACACATAAGCTGTCAACCACAAATATTTCATGAGCCATTGACCTTTCATTTAGTGTGTGGTTGTCATAGTCACACCAGAGGTTTGTGTTTTTGTTTGTTTTTTGAGGAGGGGTGGAGTTAGAGGTCCCTTTTGCCCCTTCATCCATAGTTTTAAAATCACTGTCTTACTCTTGAATAGGGATATACTCACGAAGCTGCCAGGGGCAATTTTTAATTATCTGGTTCTTGGTTTGGCTATAACTGGGAGATTTGTGTTTTCAGACCAGACTCTTAGGGAATTCCAGGCAAACTGACTGGCATCACTAAAAGATAAGTATCAACTGTTTAAGATCTAGGTGTTTGGCAATGCCTCCTTCTGCTCTTTGTAAACATAAGGAATCAAGAGATGCTTTGTTTCTTTGCAAAATATTTGAAGAGGAGAAAACCCCATAAAAAACATTAAATAATATCAAAGTTTGTGGGTCTTCAGTACATATAAGAATAGTCAAAACTAGCACCTTATGTAACGAAACACTTCATGCACATCATCCCATTTGATTCTCAGAATGACTCCATTAACAAAGGTAATGCCAGTTTTATTTTCCCCATTGCTACAGACAAAGCAACTGAGACTCAGAAGGGTCAGATGACAGTCACAATTAATAAAGAGCAGCACTAGAACTCCAAGTCAGGTCTTCTAATCTTAAACCCAGTGTTCTGCATGATTGTATTCTTGATTTTTTAGAATCCTCTTTCCCAGGTCCCACAGAACAGGCAGAAATTTGAAGAGCTGATTCCTCTGTAAAATATTTGGCTATGCCATGCTTTCTCCTTAGAAACTTGCCTGATTTGGCAAATTAGTAAGCCCCCAAACTTCTCCCAGAAACAGAGGCCCACACTGACATTTGACTCAGGCTATTAAATAGCTGTAAGTCAAGAAACACTACTGTGTCTAGAGAATTAAGAATGAGTGTCACACAGATTATATGTCATGACTGGGAGCTATGTAACCCTACAGTCTCTGAGGTTTTAAAAATGGGTATTACACTGAGAGGGGCCTGGTGGAAGTGAGAGGCTGCAGCATTACCCAAATAAAGAACCTTGAAGAAGAATGGGACTAAGGATGTCAACTGGGAAAATGGATGCTCAATGAAGCAGATGGGCTGGTCAAGTAGCAAGGGTGTGGGATGAGAGGTAGACAGCCTAAGGATTCCCCTGGTATCTTTGTGACCTCAGAAGAAAATGAGGAAAGCCTCAAACAAGAAGGGTGAGCCCTCTGTGCTGAAATTATGGGAGGACATGGATAAGAGCCATATGGGATAGGCAGGCCTGGGTGGGTTGTGATCTGTGTCATTGAAGGGAACTCCCAATCCATGAGGTCACAGATCCATTTGAGTAATACCGCCTCCCCAAATCCTAGCTTTCCTTCTAGACATTCCAGTCCCCTATAACAGCCTTTGCATGGAAAGCTAGGGTTTAGGAAATGCTTTTTTAATTTAATTTATGACGATAAAACTCAGCAGCTAAAAAACTTAATACTTTTCTGCTTTGTGCATAGGATTATGCTGTTTCTACAGTGCCAGTGGCCGACACTCTGCATCTGAAAAGTTTCTGCAGCATGGCTGGACCCAACCTAATAGCCATTGGCTCGAGTGAACCTGCACAAAAAGCTCTCAAGGTAAAGTGTAACAGACTGGAATGCCCTCCCGTAGCGTGCAGGGAGACACTCAGTGTCTTCTTTCTACAAAACCAATAAGCCCGAGTTGGAACATTCAGCAGTGTGTCAGCATCATGGCCACCTGGGATGTGCTCATTTAGCAATAGTTATCTCATAGTAATAAGGGAAATTCACTGGAAACTTCTTTTTCTCGAGAGGCAAAAATCCATATTATAGAATACTCCTTTCTCACTTGTTTCTCACTTCAAAGGATGCCTTGATTCAGAAACCTGAATAGCTCAATTTCTTCCATTCCCTTGATTGTTTATTTTGAATCCACCATTAAAGCCTCAAAGGCAGGAGCTTTGTAGAAATGTCTCTTGGTGAAAGGAAAGTGAACACAGGTACAGTGGGGCTGTTTGCCTTGTCAACTTCCTAGACCCCCTGGTGGCAGCTGCCTGGAAACAGCTGGCTTTCCTCTGGGCAAGTTGGATTCCCTCTCTGCATTCACTAAAAGATTCCAGCTTGTTTTCAACCATCCTTTCCTTTCCTTTTCTCTACTCTTATAGTATATCAGCCATTGGGTGGCTAAGCTCTTTCTGTCACTTGAATCTGTCTCAAGATTTTGATTCTGCCTCAAGAATTTGGTTTTGCCCCATGGTGGTTTATTCTCAGAGACAGCTAGGTAGAACAGTGGATAGGGCACTGACTTGCAGTCAGGAAGACCTGAGTTCAAATTCTGCCTCAGATACTTCCTAGATGTGTGACCTGGGCAAATTACTTAGCCTCTGTCTGCCTCAGTTTCCTCATTTGTAAAGTGGGGGTCATCATAGCACCTACCTCCCAGCATTGTTGTGAGGATCAAATGAGATAATGTCTGTAAGGCGCTTAGAACAGTGCCTGGTACATTGTATTTGCTTAATAAACGCATGTTTCCTTGTTTTTTGGAAGATCTTTTTTGTTGTTTCAGTTCTGCTTAATTTAGAGAAAGATGAGCACATTTTCTGGGAGTAAATCACAGGGTGTGTTGGAAAGAAGTGATTTATTTGAAAGGTGACAGAGCCCCTGACAGATGAATCATCATCTCATACAGTGAGGCAGTTTACTAAAGGACTGTTTGTAGTGACAACAGGATCAGTGACCACATCCTTTGCCACGTACAGCATGTTGGACTGCTCATACATGCAACAGATTGTAAATTCCCTGGGAGAAGGAACCAGACCTTGAGCTTCTAGCCCCGTAGTGCCTCCTACCAAAGTACTCATCACATAAGAAGGGCTCTGAAAGTAGGTGTAGATTGAAAAAAGAAATGACAGCTTGGAAGCAGAAACAACAGTGGCTGTTCTTTCTGCCTTCAGAGAGTTCTTTAAGCACTTAGGAAAACCAACCTTGAGTCTCCAAGCTCTTTGCATCAATAATAATAATAGCTAATATAGCTAATGTAGCTAACTATAATAATAGCTAATATCCTCTGTGCCAGGCATTAGGCTAGGCGCTTTACAATCATTATCTCGTTAGATCCTTACAACAACTCTGGGAGGCAGGTGGTATTCTTGTCCCCATTTTACAGATGGGAAAACTGAGGCAGAAAGAGATTAAGCGACTTGTCCAGGGTCACACAGCTAATAAGTGTCTAGGGTTGGATTTTAGCTTAAATTTTCTTGACTCTAGACCCAGCACTCTATCCACTGTACTACCTAGCCTCTAACCTTTTTTGTTATTCCCCAAGAGGTAAGAACCAGCATATCCAGGCACATAGAATCATAGATCAAGTGTTGGTGCTTTCAGTATTTTTAGGGCCTCTTTTATAATGTGAGAGGTAGTTGTAATATTAGAAATGAAGTCAAGTAAACTGAGCAGCTAGGTGGTGCAGTGGATAAAGTGCCAGGCCTGGAGTCAGGAAGACTTATCTAAGTTCCTGAGTTCAAACCTGGCCTCAGACACTTGCTAGCTATGTGACCCTGGGCAAGTCACTTAACCCTCTTTGCCTCAGTTTCCTCATCTGTAAAATGAGCTAGAGAAGGAAATGACAAACCACTCCAGTATCTTTGCAAAGAAAAAACCACAAATGGGGTCATGAAGAGTCAGACATGACTGAAATGACTATACAATATCAACAGTAAATTGGGTTCAAACTGGCTCTGACATGAGCTTTATTACCACGGACAGCTCACTAAAATGGCGATGTTCACTTTTGTATTACCTCCTTCACAGAGCAGCATTCTTACAGCACTATATAAATGGAGTGAGGTGGGCTGACCCTTCAGTATTTCAAGGATCACATGGTCAGTAGCAGTCAAACAACAAGCATTTATTAAGCACTTATTATGTACCAGGCTCTGTACATTCCCTGACCTCAATACGCATACATTCCAATGGGAGGAGACAACATGAAAAAAACCTCGTACATATAAGATATATGTATGCAGAGTAGATGAAGGTAATCTGTAAGGGGGAGGCATCAGCAACTGTGTGGACCAGAGAAGGCCTCCTACAGTAGAATGTAAGATATGAACTAGGCCTTGATGGAAGCCAGGAAAACTCAGAAGAGGAAGTGAGGGGACAGAGCATTACAGATGTGGGGAATAGCCAATGCAGAGACACAGAGATAGAAGATGGAGTGCTGTGTTTGCAGAATGATAAATAGTCCAATAAAACTGAACCATAGACCATGTGGAGGGGAGTAAAATGTAAAAATACTGGAAAGGTAGAAAGGGACAAGCTTATGAAGGCTCTTAAAAGCCAAATGGGATTTTGTATTTGATCCTAGAGATGATAGGGAGCCACAGAAGTTTATTGAGCAGGTAAGGATCATGGTCAGATGTGGCAGCTAAGTAGAGAAAGCATTGAAATGGGGAGAGACATGAAGCAGGGAGCCCAGTTTGAAAGCTAATACAATTGTCCACATGAGAGGCAAGGAGGGCCTGAACTGGGGTTGTGGATGTGTGACCAGAGAAGGGCACTTATATGAGAGATGATGTGAAGAGTTGGCAGTGACTTTGGATATGTGGGGTGAGTGCAAGTGAGGGAACAGAGATGTTTCTGAATTTGGGAGCCCGAGTGACTGAGAGGACGGAGGTGCCAACGATAAGGATGTTCAGAAGCAGAGGAGGGTTCGAAGAAGATCAGTTTAGATACATTGAGTTCTAGATCCCTATGGGAGATCCAGTTTGAGATAACCGAGGAGAGAGAGACACATCATAATGTCTGGGACTCAAAATTCTACTGACCAATGGCCAGTCTGAGAAGGAGCCTCTCTAAATGTTGCATTGCTGAGCCTTTAATCAAGACCTTTCGGCAATGCGAACATGTACACATCCCATCACCACTCTGCTATGCAAAATGAGGCAATTTCTCTTGGTGGCCTCTGGATTCTAAGTCACTGCCTGTGACCCTGTAATTAGACCTGTTAGAACCCATGCTCTGCTAAGCATCGTCTTGGTCACCTCCAAAGGATCACCCCCAAAGTATGAGAAGGGTGGACTTCTTTGAGAAAGGCTCTTTTGTGATGACTGAAACACCATTACACATATGAGCTGTCATTCTTATGAGAAGCTTTTAAAATGTAGGGATGGAGTAGAAATTTGGGAGTCTATTTAAATAATGTCTTTGATGGATACTGGCTGTGTGACATTTTGTGAGTAGCTGAGAAAGTGATGTGAGAGGAGGAAAATTCCTTATTAAGGAATTCCATTTACCAATGAACTCAGTGATCTAACCCCTATCCCACTTCAAATTTATGTGAATTAACCTCAACTGGCCCTCACTGCTACAAGGCAGATTTTTTACACCTCCCTAATTAAGGTAGCTCAATGGACAGAATGCTAGGTCTGAAGTCAAGAAGACCCGAGTTCAAATTTGACTTCAAACACTTATTAGCTGTGTGATCTTAGGCAAGTCACTTAACCTCTATTTGTTTCTGGAAAAGGAAAAGGCAAACCACTCCAATATCTTTGCCAAGAAAACCCCATGGACAATATTGGCATGTTATGGTCCATGGGGTCACAAAGAGTCAGACACAGCTAAATGACTCACAACAAATTAACTCATTATCCCACTCACCATTGCAACTCTTCTAAACCTTTTTGTGCCTCCTCAAACCCCGCATGACTCCCCTTCCCCCACCCTCTCAGTTAAGAAATTCATATTTAATCCAAAAGTGAGACTTTTTTGAAAACTCCCTCTTCCTTGTCTCACACCACCCATATCACTGTCTCCTCCATCATCCCTGTCTCACATGAAGAGATGAAGAAGACCCCAATGGTCCTCTGCCATTCTGAAAAATGACAGACTATGTGTTTTATCCAAGGACCAACCTAGCTAAGAATGGAGAACTTCATCACTGGATTGGCCAGGGTGGAGAGAGGCCTTCTTCAATCACTGCAGCTCTCAGAAACAATCTACCAGGTCATAAGAAGCTGGGCTTCCTGTTAGTAGAGAGATTATTGCCCACACCAATGGTGTCAAGGGCCCGTGAGGTACTGAAATATTTCCTCGAAACCATTCTATAAGATATGTAGACAGTCTCACCATCTCCATTATACATGTTAGGACACTGAGTCTCACAGAGGTTAAATGGCTCACCCAAGGTCACACAGCTAATAAGAGGTAGTATCAGAGCTAATAACTGGAGCCAGGACTCCATACTCAAATACCTCCCATTCCTCCTCTCCCCTTCCCCCTCCCCCCCCACAGTGAAGGAAGTAATGGTAGGTATTCACTTTAATAGTCATATTTGGTTTACAGCACAGGTATATTGACTTTCTGATATTCACAAAGGATAAATTAGGAGTGATTTTTTACATTAGGAAACACAATTTACTGAGAAGCTTGCTCAGTACATTTGAAATACGATTCAATTAAATTATTTTTGATTTATATACAACCTTTCAGAAGACTTTCTGTAAAGCAGATGCAATTTGTCAACTTTTTGCCATTAAAGCTGGTTGGTCAGACAGAAAATTGTAAACGATTTCAGCATGTGCGTCCTTTAATTGGTTTATAACAACATACAAATATGC